CCAACTGGGCGTATACTTGATGATATTATGACATGTTCCCCTTTTAAACCCCCCACAAAAATGTTATTTAGGCACAAAATAGCACAAAATTGCCAGGCTAAAAAAAAACGAAAAGGAATACACCTATATATTTATGTGAAGTTACAAATATTAATAGTTAAACGAAGGCAGAAAAAATAATGACAATAATTCGCCACAAAATGCACCTGCAGGCTAAGCAGTCAGCGGAGTTTTAGATTTCGTTTTCTATTTGGTATTATTTTTTTTTTTCGTTTTAAGTTAGCCAGAGGAAGTCACAATTTTTTGGGCAAGGCAAAAAGTGGGCATCGAAAGTGAAGTTTATAAAAAAGGGTTGGCGAATCCCAAAATGCAATTTATGCAAATGAGCCGAGAGGCGCCGTTGCAAATGCGGCAGCAATAGATGAGGACAAAAAAAACAATGCAAAGTGCCGCATGCTAATTGAAATTTACAGGGGGGCTGGGGTAGTTTCTGTTTTTTTTTTTTCTGCCAGCAAAATCAAAGCCTAAATAGCAATCAAAAAGAGCAAAAATTCCTTAAATTAAACTCACGAACTGGCGGCGCAACGATGCGAAAATGATACATGCATTAAGGCCCAGCCAAGTTGACTTGGCCAAAACGAAGCGAATTTGGCTCGGCACATTTAGAATATCATCGCAGTGCAACTACGACCACAACAATAAATAATAGACAAAAGGCAGAGAGACAAAAGCAAGGAGTGCCGATTCCGAAGTCGACGTAGACTTCCACTTCGACGGAGACGGCGACTTTGGCTTGGCATGTCATGCTTAATACAGCCAATAAAACCGCCGACAACAACAACAACAGCAATCGAAACTCTTTGGAAGCAACCCAATAGCAGCAACAACAACATCAGCGATAGCAGCAACAACAACGAGACTCCAACGCTAAGCTGTTTGCATGCACTTTTTGGGGCCACCAGCGGGTCAGCCAACAGCAGCAGCACCACTAGCCCCACCAGCACCACTAGTACCACTAGCACCGCCATCCACCATACACCATCCACCACCACCACATCCACCGCCAAAGGAACAGCAGCAGCAACACTTAAAAAACATCAAGAAAGGCAGCCCATACAGTGGTCCACCTTTGCTTTTTAATTGATTAGAGGAAATGGCATCAATAAAAGTAATCGGAGCTTATAATAAATCCAGAAACTAAAATTTAAAAACATTTTAATTTTATTTCACAACTTTCTAAATAAATACCTAGCTAATCAATTTTTTAATTCAGTGATTACTCCTTAATTAAGTAACGAGAATGTCTCAAGCAAGGATTTTCTTAATTTAAAAAAAATATACAGAACACTGGAGAAATAACGAAGCTTAGGTTTTTGTTTTTGGCAGCTAAATCATATACAATTTATAACCAGCATTTGTACGTTTTGGCTCGATAAAAAAGTTTTTTTTAATATCAAGCGTTATAAAATGGTGTATTTTTGTTTAATACTGATATGTTTTATTTAAATCTTGAAGAACAATTTAACTTTACTAAATAATAGAAAAATACTCAACATATAATTTATCCAAAAAAAACCCTTTTAAGATTAGGGCAGGATTATTTTCCCGATAGATTTGAAGCCACTGTACCGCATGCACATGGTGCCTGCCACAGACCAGTTCCACTTGCGTCGCTCCCAAATCCAAACTAATATATATGTACATGGGAAGCCACACCACAGAGCACAGCACATTATACCCATACCTGCACCGATCCGATTCCCCCGGAGCCATGATAGCACCACGAGAGTCGGACCCGAGCAAAAGCATTATGGGAAAAAATCTAGTCGAAAACGAAAGGAAGAGCCCACTGCGCCCAAAACTGAAGTCCACCGACTCTGCTCAGCCTCTGCCTCAGTCGACGCCGCAGTTACTGTCGCAGTCGCAGTCGACGTCGACCCAAAGATCTCACGTTTTGTCTGGGGCCTCCAAAGTGGAGGAGAGCTCCATGGGCCGAGATCTCCGGCTCGTACGCTAACAACAGTTAGAAAACGTGGCTTTGCTTTGGAACCTGTCTAAAAATAGCCGAATGAAAACGAAATCTTAACCGGCCTCACCTCAAAGACGAGTCTACGGATCTCCGAAGAATTCGGATCGGGTTCCGAACGACCACTCGCGAGACTCTCACTCTCCGTTCAGTCGACGCGGGCAGCGCAGTCGGGTGTTCGGGTCTTAATTTTTTTTTCCTTTTATTTCACGATCTTGGGAGAGAAGATCTCAACGTATTATTTTCCCCGTTGTTGTTTACGAGCTGCAAACGCCGGTGTCAATGGTAAAGTGCATTAATATTCCCGCTTTTCCGGGGAACAGTGGAAGGGGGAGGGGAAATTTGGATCGTGTTATTGGTATATTGCCTAAATGATTTGTGGTGCAACTTATTTATGTTTGGGGATGAGGAAAAGGAGTGATCTGGTTTATGAAGTGGCAGGATGGTATTTTGTTAAAGTGGAAAAGGGAAATTGGCCTGGGATTTGGTGTGAAATCGATTTGTCTTGGCTTAAAGAGGTTAACATAGATTAACATAGAAATTAACGGTCTTAGAAAAAAAAGTATTATAGCCATGGAATGGCTATGTTTCCAAAAATTAATCATTTATATAGCTACTTAAATTAACTTAAGCTATTTTATTTCTGTACCACGGCACTCCCAAGCCCAAATAAAGCTTCAGTTTAATTGCAAAATTAAGCCAATTAACAGAAAACTGTAATGGTTCGCCATAAATTGTCCTTTGAAATACTAAATCTTTTGAATTTGTATTTCATTAGATTATTATTCTTCTTGAAATTTGTAACCTCCCATTCAACATAGAAACAACAACTTTCCACCTCAGTTAAACAAGTGGGATTCAGTAAAATTACCGTATTCCTTGAAATCTGGTCCATATTCCCGCGAAATTTGCCTTGGTTTGGCCCACACATAAAAGCCGGGATGTCCTGAACCCTGTAACGCCAACACAAAATTTTCTACACAATGAAAAAGATTGCAGATAATTCGAACAAAAATTTAGCTTTTGGTGATAAAGAGAAATATCCATTTTTCTTTTTTTTAATTATAAAAATTTACTTATAAATAATGATTAGGTATCAATTATTTGGTAAAAGTCTTCAACACTGTTATACATATATAAAAAAAATGTTTAAAATAACAAACAAAAATTTTTAATTGTGACTAACCATAGGAATTAAAATCTGTTTAGCTTAGGATATATGGGGTTTCGCCATAAATAAAACTAAATAAGCTTCTCAAATTGTATTACTTTTATTATTTAGAGCCTAATAACTGCATAGCTATCCTTTCTCGTTAGTAATTCCCTTATTAATTTATTTGTTTCCCGTGTATATTAACTAAAAGGAACGGAAGTTATGACAGCGGGAGAAAAGAGGATGCCCAGTGGGCGGTTGGAAAATGCAGGAAAAGTGGGTGTAAGGGAAGGGAGGTGTGGCAACAGCAGAGCAGGTGAAACGGCAGCAAGAACAACCATCAATTTTGGCTGCGAGCAAAAGAGATGGCCAATGTCGGTTTTATGACGCACATAATTTCCGTTTCCGAAACTGTCCCACTGCACTGCATTCGAAAAAGCGGGCCATGTGGTGGGGAAAAAGGGAGGGGAGTATGGTACGGATTTTCCGACGCAGGCGCTCTAACAACGACGTCATCGATTTTCCTCGCACGAGCTGCGCTCAGTTGTTGTTGGCCGCAAATGACGTAATAGCCGGGCCGCAAAGGTAGGTCGTGTCCCGCTCGCTCACTGCCTCCCCCTCGCACACCCACTCCCTCTCTCAATCTCGCTCGTTCGCTCGCACACACGCGACGCCCGAGAGCGCAGCCAAAACGCCAGCTGAGGCAGCGCTGCCCGCCGCGACGCTTTGAATATAGTCGCGTGTAACCGTAAAGATAAGTTCAGTCGCGTCACAGACGCCGCATTGTTAACAACTTTAACCAAAACAGCCACCGCTCACGGAAAATCCAACATTAAAGAGAATATACATCCAGGCGGATTCGGAAATTCTGAATTTCCGAATTTCAATCCATCAATCTAAAACATAAATCCACATAGCTCTATAGAAATCGCGTTCAGTATTAACAAAAAAAGAAAACAAACCTTAGGTGTGAGTGCTCAAGAGTTAAACAATTGCAACAAGTTGTTGTTCTTTATTGATTCGTTCTATGCGGAAACGGAAGCCGGTTGACAACGCTGCGTATGTGTAATAATTTCAAACGGTTGACAACACGGCGTATGTGTAGTCTATTCAATATACTTCACTTTCTTGAGAGAACTATTGATATTTTTTGACTGACAAACGCTTCGTATGTGGTATAACTAAATTTTAAACAATTTCGAATTATTTTTCATAGAGTCCTATAAATATTTTTGGAACTAACATTTTGCTAACATTTTTCTACAAATCCATAAGCACGTGCTGAAGAACAATAATAATTTCGGGTTGCCCGTGCGCGTGTGTGTATCTGTGTTTAAAGTGTAAGCAACGTCCTTGTGCCTCCTACTACTACAATATCTAAAACATATATGTATATGTATATATAGACCCAAGCTATATACTATAGCGTGCGTAAGTCGTTACGTCGCTCACGTCGTCACTTGGCCATTGCGCAAACGCCGGAAAAAAAAGCGAATAAAAGAAGGCAAGTTCAAGTCTAAGGACACACAACAACAGCTGTGGCAAGGACAGGAAAATGAAGCCCGATTATAACTATTGCAACAAGAGTTTTTGCGAAAAAGGAGTGGGCCACAAAATTGAGGGATAAATCGCCAAACTCGGAACCGCCGTGCTGGATCACCAGCGCCGTTCAGGGCGCCAAACAGGTGCCTATATAGAAACTATAAAATATCTGTGTTGTCCTGTGTACTGTGTACCGTGTCCTGTTTTGTGTTTTTGTGTGCACCTGACTGTCTCATCATCATCATCACTTTTGGGTGCTTTAATTAAGAATCGTGGTCTATGATGCGCGATCGCCTTGCCTCGCTGATTGTGGTGAAGCAAGAGGGCGGTAGCAATACGAATATTAGCCATCATCATATTGGCCACCACCATCAGCCGGCCATTAAGTGCGAGACATCGCTGTATGAGAGCGGCAGCAGCAGCCTGTTCCAAGAGATCAACAACAATTCCTGCTACAGACAGAATTTAAACACACCGGCACAACACCAGCAACATACACACCAGCAACACGCACAGCAGCAACATATACACCAGCAACACCTTTTGCCGCCGCCATTGCCGCCTTTGATTTATCCCTGCCGCAATCTCTTTCCCGACGGTTGCGATATCAATCACCTGGCCTGCTGCAGTTCCTCCAACAGCACCTCCAACTCCACCAATTCCACCACCTCCAATTCACCCAACAACAGCCACTTTTTTGCCAATGGAAACACGTGTATGTATTTTGTTTTCCTTTTGGTCATTCGGTGATGGTTTCTCTTCAAGTTTAACGCCGTTTTGGTGTTTCCTTCTAATTCACTAATCGCACAGCACACGCGGCGTATACGCAATGTTCGTTGCCCATTGCCAAATCTCTCGAGAAGCGCCTGCATTTGGCTTACTGTTTGCCCAATCCGCCTGAGGGCAGGCCAAAAAGTCAAAAGAAAAAGGCATATCGAACAAAAAAGGGGGCGTGGCTGCGGGGTTAGTTAGACAACGCACAATGACGACATAAATTTGCATGAAAAGTGCTCAAAGTGCATCATAAAAATGGTAAAAATATTAAGCAAATAGAAAAAAATATGAGTGCAGCCACAGTTATAGTCAAAATAATAGTAGGGTTGCAGTTTTCCAAGAAATATACTTATATTATGAATAGGTAGGCATTATATATTGAATTATGTCGAATTTCTGAAATATTTGCTTTTGTTTAAAGAAACAAGCAAGTGCTTAAAATAATAGTAAAAACAAAATATATATTTTTTTAGGTATTAAATTGGAAATTGTTTAGCAAAAGTATGTAAATAGGTAACAGTGTTCCCTAAGTTGGCATTATTTTTAAATATTATTTTAAATAGTTGTTTTAGGAGAAGCACCTTTGGTCTGTTATGTAATGGAAAGTCTTATATGAAATAATTTACGTCCCTTATCGGCTGAATTTGAAATTCCAACTTTTTTGAAATTGAAATGCATTGAAAAAAATAATAAGATAAATAATTCGGACTTAGTTTTTTACGTTGTTTTTAGTAGACTCAAACAATTAAACACCTGTATAAGTTGTATTTAACTTTCTGAACTGTAAAATGTTACGTATGTCAATTACCATTCTTTTGACCTTAGTTTTGTGTGTGTGAAGTTAACATTTTTTTTGTGAGTGTTGAGTGTGTGTGTATGTGTATGGATTTTCTTCTGCGGCGCGTCCCAGTTGCGCTGTTGTTATTGGTGTCGTACACATGTTTACCAGCGTCAGCAAAGCGTCGCAGTTGCAGCAGACGGCAGCGGACGCAGCCTGACGCAAAATGATTTATAAGCTGCACAATAAACACGGCGAGTACCAATGCCACACAGATACTCACTAATAAACGGGAGGGATGGCCAATGCATTTTATTAATAACCAGCGAGAACCAGCGAATAAAAATATTATCGATTGAAGCGCAAACAACTGGGAGGAAGATCGATGGCAGTAGTGATATAGCTGTCATCTTTTTGGTTTTTCTTTTTCTTTGAGTGGGTTGTGGGTGGTTTGAGGGGATAGAGCTGGGGTTTAAGGTGAAAAAAATCCGATTTATTGAGCCCACTAAATCGCCAATAGCCGTGTGGAGCTGCAACGGCTTGAAAGGCTTCACCAATTCATTTGCTGTGGCCAAATTGGTTAGCCACTTCTTAAGCGGTTGTATTTTGCGGCTCACTTAGCGCTTATTAAGTATTTCCCAGCAGTCAGCTTTTTAACATATTGTGGTTAAATTTGTATTTTTTAATTGAACTGGCACATCAGCCTTCACTTTAAGGAATTTATTAGATGTGCTGTTAAAAGCGTTCTAAATTTATTTAGTAGTCATAAATACCGCAAAACATTGGTCTTTGCAATATACTTAATTTTTTATTTAACTTTGCACAGCTCTTAACAATTTATCAATTGGTAATTATGAGCTCATACATAAATGCACATAAGCAGACTATGTTTTAAAAGAATGAGAACCAAATTTTATTCTATATATAATCTAAACAATTTTGTTATAATGACTTTGCATTTATAAACTCATATAAGATTTTTTTTTCTTTTTTATTGCTCAATTATTTTTATGCTTTAAATAGTTTTATGTGGAATTTTACTTGAAAACATTTAAGTTTAATACTGTTTTAATTACTTTATTTCTAACCATAATAAGTTTTTACCTTTTAAACTGCGTTAAAAAACCCCCATAGGGTTACAAATTGATGGCAAAAATTGAAATTTAAATTAAGTGCTCTAAAATTCAGTTCACTATTAGCTGTGGCAAAACAAACATCTCTATTTATAAGTTGGCTATATATTACCATAATGGCGATGGGCGCCAAAAGTGCCCGACAGCGGATGACAAACCAAAGCAAAACAAATCGCCGAAGAGCCGCACAGAACATATGACCAGGTGAGGTGCATCCCTAGGTAGTATATATAAGCCATGACGCCAGCGAGGCCATGAAATCAGCCAGTTTAACGGATTACACGGCACACAATTTTCACAGTACGGATATTTTCCTCAGGCACGAGTGCTGAAAACGTCATCGTCGGCGGGCCAAAATGAAAATAGATGACGAAATAGTTTTGGGGGGATGCAAAAGATTGCACTCTCTTTGCGTCAGCTGCATCTCTATAAATATCATAATTGGTTCGGAATTATATTAATTATATTATTTTTATGCCTAGCCACGTGCTGATGACGTCGTCTCTTGGGATGATTTGGCTAATTGCCTATAATATAATCACAAGTCAGCGTTTTTTTTTTTGTTTCTTACGAGTATTTACATTTGGTTGGCTTGTTTTTTGTTTTTATTTCGTATTCACGACAGGGCGTGTGAAAATATTGTTTCTTTAACTCTTTTCCCCTGCTATTCACCTTGATTGCTCATACGCCCTGTTCAACATGGCAACATCTCCTGGGCGTAGCCAATTGCATTTCATCATGGCCCAAAGCGACTGTATAAAAGGTTTGCCTCTTCCACATATAAAGTTGTTCAATGCACTTCCCCGACCAAAGATCATGATGATCTTGGCTTCCCTCACTGATTAACCCCCAGCGAAATGAGCTTGATAAATGATGCAAAAATATAAAATACCTACTCACATATCTATGACACCCAAAAAAAAAACAACGAAGAAAATAAAATAAAACGTAGGCTACCTTATTGTATAGTTATTCACGATCCGTCGTGCGTTGTGAGTTATCTCCGCGGCAGCTGTCGGGATGGCCATTGTTGATTGTTGCCGCTTTTGGCCATTCCTCATGGAGATACTCTATACCCAAAAAAAAAATGAAATAGCCATACACTCCCCGCACACCGGTTTCCATGGAGCAACTCCATCTTCAACTCCGACGGCTGCCAAGACCAGTAGTCGCCTACCAAGTTGCGTTTGATTTTTTTCTTCAGTACTTTTATGTATATGTATGTTTATATAAATTTACCATAAAGTCGACGGCACAGGTGTATCGAGAGGCGTTAGTGGTGTAGCCTACTAACATGGTTAGGATGCCAACATTTTTGCATGTCCACATGTTCTTTGTTCTTCGGTACATGTGTGATGGTCAATTTTGTGAACATTAAGTTCCGTTAATTGTTGGCTTGGACTTACATTAAAAACCATTATCACAGAATATCATCAACTAAAAATAAGCACTAAAAATAATCTTAAGCACACATTAAATTTAATAATTAAACAGGTGTTGTTTTATTTAATCGTTTATAATATTAATATTGCGGTTTACATATAATAAAATGGTTTTTATTATATCACATAAACTTACTGATAAACTTCGATATTCCATGTCCAAATTGTTGAGTTATAATCATATAGCTTAAAAAAAACCAAACTAAACTCCAAAAACCCATAACGTAATTTCCAATAAATATACTTTTACCTATTAAAAAAGTGGACTTACTATCTCAAAATACCTATTACCTCCATTAAGCTGTCATCAATTAAGCTTAAAACATTTTTTTAAAAACTACTAAGCTTCCTCCCCTCTTAAATCTTAATCTTAAATCTTTTAAATCTATCTCCAACCTATCTCAACTAACTTCGATGGATTCACTCTCGTCTCGCACTTTTGCTATCCATTTTCGCACTATGCGAATGAGTAAAAACCACAAAAGTGAATTTGTTAATTTGTGTTTTTTGAGGTGGTTTTTGTTTTGTTTTGATTTGGGATCTTGTATGTCTGCTGGGATGAGATGCCCGCGTCTGGGGCAGATGGATTGGAAACTCTCGATATTAGCGTCTCGTGGGGACTGCTCTGCGACTGCTTAATTATTTGCGTTGATTTATGCGAATTTTATAACGAAATGCGGCGGGTAGGGAGGTGCCAATATTGTCTTCAACCGCTGATCGATGGCCAAGACATCAACGAGAGGAAAACCGAAAACCAAAAACCATAGACCATACACCATAGACCAGCATTAGTTCCAGTTCCCCTCGTTGGTTTATCGAGGAATACAAATCAGATGCATAATGGACAGCCCACCTCAATTACGTAATAATTATAGTTTGTCTGGATTAATTGTGTTTATTATATTGATTGTGAGCGTGTTTCGTTATTAATTGCCGATCGATTTGCTCAATGTGCACTTCATCTTCAATTGGTTCACACGATGCCAGCGATTCGAAAACGAAAATAAATACGGAAAGCGTAAATTCCGCGCGCACTTTTTCGTTTCATTTGCTTCTGCATTGCTAAAATTATTTCTAAATTCGTCTGCTTTATTTTAAAATTAAACAATTGCCGTGTAATTAGCCAGCACCAATTTATGTCCAATTTCCCCGCCATCACAGACCATTGCTCCTCGTTCAGTTTGATGTCCAAGCTCGAGGTATTTCTGTCTAAACGGGAATAGAACTCTTCTCGGGTCGATGAAATTATTTCAAGTGGTTTTCAATTCCGCATAGTTGGTTGTTAGCTGGGGTATTCTTGGGGTGTAATATATAGGTATAGCGGAAGTCATTCCAGTTTAATTTTTCTATTGTTTATAATAGCTTCCATTTATTTTAAACAAGAGGATATTTATTTAAGAAATACCTAATAAACCTTTAACCCTTTGCTACTTGGTAATCGCATTAAAAAACGACAAATTATAGTTCCTTAAATTAAATATATTAAATTATATAGGTTAAAACTACATACTTGGAAATAGTTGGAATAATTTCATTTGATTTTTTTATATTTAGATAATGTCTCATGGCCAATAAATCGCATTAGTGT